ATAGTAGTAGTAGTAGTAGTAGTAGTAGTAGTAGTAGTAGTAGTAGTAGTAGTAGTAGTAGTAGTAGTAGTAGTAATAGTAGTAGAAGTAGTAGTAGTAGTAGTAGTAGTAGTAGTAGTAGTAGTAGTAGTAGTAGTAGTAGTAGCAGCAGCAGTAGTAGTAGTAGTAGTAGTAGTAGTAGTAGTAGTAGTAGTAGTAGTAGTAGTAGCAGCAGCAGTAGTAGTAATAGTGCACATGCCTTTTCGCCTGGTATTAATTGGAACTGGATGATTCGACAGATCCTGCCAGCAAGCCCGGAACACCAGCCTTTGAAGATTGGGACAAAGACCACGTTGACCTGAGTTGGACTCCGCCAGAAAGTGATGGCGGTGCTCCTATAACAGCGTACATAATTGAGAAAAGGGAAAAGGGCCTACATGAATGGCACCCTAGTGCCGAAGTAAGAAACAATAAATTCTAAAAACGCAAAGCAAATGGGGAGCTCGACCAATGCACAAAATAAACAGATAGATCAATCTATCTATAGTTAGGTGTACTCATACTTAAGTCTATATATGTAAATGAATGCATGGCTACATAAATGAACAACTAAACAATCAAATAAATAATGTAAGAATGAGCTAACACAAAATTTATTACTACTAATTATTTCTATAACAATTATATTTAAAAATTAGATTCCGGCTCCCGCAACTGACGTTATTAAAGGCACATGCAAGGGGTTGGAAGCAGGCAAAGAATACGAGTACAGAATCAGAGCTGTGAATGCAGCAGGACCTGGCGAACCTAGCGATGCTACACCCTACAAAAAGGCCAAGCCAAGATACTGTAAGAGCGTATAAATATTTATTATGTGTTACGTAATCTGTTATTTTTTTATAACAGATGTTACGCAATCTCTATACAAATTTAATTGAGACCAAAACGTAACTCAGACAGACGGGTGCGTAACAGATCTATTTTTATTTCTAGTGCGTCCCAAAATTGATAAGAGCCACATGAAGCCCATAACAATAAAAGCCGGTCAGTCATTTGGCTTTGATGTTCCCCTGGAGGGTGAACCTCCCCCGGAGAAGGAATGGTTCCACGAGGGAAAGCCGATCATAACTCCCGGACATGCCATAATTGAAAACCATGACTATGGAACAATGATCGAGGTATAAATATAGAGCTGGGGCAGTTATATTGGTCATGCTACAGTAATTTACTAATTAAATGCTGAATAGACATATTGGCGTGTAATTTGTTGTCTACTGGACTTGATGTAAAATTAATGTTTAATTATTTTCCGTTAATAATTGATAACGGTTAGACAAGTTAGAATTCGCCGTAATGTAAAATAATTCGGTTTTTTATTCCCATATTTGTACTCTACTTGAACTTGCGTAGGTTCCCCAAGCAAAGCGTGGCGATACTGGTGTCTACAAACTAAGGGTGCATAACAGCTCCGGTGAAGATACAGCCCAGGTTCAAGTCATTGTCTTAGGTAGGTTTGGCCCTTTGCATAAAATTATTATAAGTGTAGATTTGAGGTTATATAGAGCCATTTTTTGCATACGTATATCCATCTCAATATCTACTGCAACCCATCTAATTCAACGCATAAACACACTCACCACCATTTCAGACAAACCTTTGGTTCCTGAGGGCCCGCTGGAAGTTTGCGATGTCTTCAAGGACAAGATGACCCTAAAATGGAAGAAGCCTAAGGACGACGGTGGCACGCCGATTAAGCACTATGAGGTGGAGAAGTTTGACGTTCAACGCGGAACCTGGATCCCAGCCGGTACCTCTAAGGCACCGGAAATTATATGTGATGGACTCATACCAGGAAAAGAGTACAAGTTCCGAGTAAAGGCAATCAATAGCGAGGGAGAATCAGAACCTCTAACCACTGACCATGCTACTTTAGCCAAGGACCCGTGGGGTGGGTTTACTTTCGAGTAGATCTACTATATTAATACGCATAAACACGAGCTGCTTAAAACTGTATTTTTTCAGTATATTTATGTCAGACACATAAACAATTTATAGCACATGGGATTATCGATTTTTCTACTAGAAGTATAAGCCTCATTGACGCGTTGTTATATTCTTGTGATTTAGATCCGGCATCAAAGCCTGGTACCCCAGACATTACTGATTGGGACAAGGACCATGTCGACTTGGAATGGACTAAACCGGAAGATGACGGTGGCTCTCCTATCGACCACTATATCATTGAGAAAAAAGAGAAACAGAGCAACTTCTGGCAGGAGTGTGCTAAGGTACACAGCCAAAAGCGACCTACATGCTAAAGGAACCTGCAGTAGTCATTTACTTATGTGCTTAATCAAAATAAAACAGTACAAGATAAGAAAACTACATGAAAATAGATAGCGAGAGAGAGAGTTTCCGAAGTGTACAGTATAGGCATACGCAACCGCAAACCAGTCAGTGCACCTAAACGGATTAGATAGATGGCTGATTTATGTTACAGGTACCGGGAGAAAAGACAGCCGGTACAGCCCCTCTGCTTGACGAAGGCAAAGAATACACCTTCCGTGTGCGTGCTGTGACCAATGCTGGTCCTGGTGAGCCATCGGACCCATCCAGATCTCAGATTGCGAAGCCTCGCTACTGTAAGTATACAAACAATTTGTGATTAAACGCCTTTTTCTAGGTTTGTACGCTACGGGTTTTTAGCAGGGATTGTTGCCATTGGCCATGGAGTGTTGGCACAATTACGTTCTCAATCGAATTGTAATCCCATGCACATATTCAATGTACGTATCTACCATTACCTGTTTAACGACGTTACCTATTTCCAATAGTGAAGCCAAAGCTTGACCTTTCTAAGATGGAAGACATAAAGGTATTAGCTGGTGAGACTATCCACTTTGATATACCGATCATCGGTGAACCACCTCCGGACAAGGAGTGGACCATGGTGAGTCCGCGCACTGTAACAAGCTGCGATTTGGTATTACTTTGACAAAACGCAAGACCACTTCTTATTATCATGTTTGCGTGTGGGGAGCGAGGGCGTGCCTGCATGCGCGCAGGTGTGTGTGAATGTTTGTCCGCGTTTGTGTGACCGTGCGCGCGCGTGTGTGCGTGTGTATTGTGTTTATATTACGTGCATTCGCGTTTGCTTGCGTTTGTGTGTGTGCGCGCTCGTGTGTGTGGCGCGTATATACATGATAATAAATGTTTTAAAGATTATAACGTGCCGATATTATTTGTACAGAATGGCAAGCCTATCGTAGCTGACGATGACAGAATCACACTGGATAATGAAGACTACAACACCAGACTGCTCATCAGAAATGCCCAGCGAGACGACAGCGGCAAATTCTGTCTGAAGGTTACTAACAGCTCAGGCGAACAGGTTGGCGAGGTCAACGTCGTCGTCCTAGGTATGGATGCTTATAACTGTGCTGTGAAAGTAGGACGCGATTCCATTTTGACCCAATCGAAATTTTCTGATAAAAAGAATGATAGAATTAAAAGAAAGAAATTAATTAAATAATTTGCCGCTAGTAACCAGGGATTGCCGATTTGATTTCAGATGTCCCAACTTCACCAGTGGGACCCCTGGAAGTAAATGACGTGCACAAGGAGGGATGCACGCTTGCCTGGAAGTTGCCCAAGGATGATGGCGGCTCAGGCATTCAAGTTTTCAGGGTATGCATTATCCATATAATTTATTTCCAAACTAAATTTCACTGAGGGATTTTAGTCGAACTGCAATATTCTAACCGCGCAGACAGCGGTGGTGTACGTGCTTTATATTAGCGCATGTGTTGGCGTTTTATTCAATATTAACAAACAATTGTGAATCATTTATTGTAACCGCACCTATGCATAGCAAAGCTATATATCCTGTAAACAGGTCGATAAGTTGGACATGGCAACAGGTCGCTGGGTGCCAGCAGGTGAGGTGGACGGTAAGGAGACTTCAATTGAGCTAGAGAATCTGACACCAGGACACGAGTACAAGTTCCGCGTGAAGGCCTGCAACAAGCAGGGCGAGTCTGCGCCACTCGAAACTCACAAACCTGTCATTGCTAAGAACCCATATGGTAAGTTTTAACTTGTTATCAAATCTGTGCTTACGCCGATCTTTTGTGTATACAGCCGTAGTCTTCCTGAATGATTGCACTGTTATTTTATTATAAAACCGGTATTATTGTGATTACATTTAGCTAATAAATTCTCGGTTCAACGTTCCTAGATCTTTATTATAAGATTGTGAATTTATTTTAACCAGCATCAGCTTCTTATAGAATAGAATTGCTGTAAAGTGTAGCAACTAATTACTGTTTACAACTGTCTCACAGACGAGCCAGACAAACCTGGTACACCAAACGTCGATGACTGGGATAGTGATCATGTCGACCTCAGCTGGACTGCTCCCGAAAATGATGGTGGCGCTCCTATTGAGTCATATGTTATTGAGAAGAAGGATGAAAATGGCGACTGGGCGAAGGCCATAGAGATTCCTGCCGTTCCCGGAGTCACGGACGTCAAGGGGACGGTTCCTGACCTCATCGAGGGAACCAAGTACGAGTTCCGCGTGCGTGCGGTGAACAAGGCCGGACCTGGTGAACCCAGTGATGCATCAAGAGCACAGGTTGCCAAGCCAAGAAACTGTAAGTTACTATCATATTGGTTATTAATTTTTTGTTAGGTGACATTTATCACCGATTGGAATATAATGTTTTCTGATTTAATATTTTCAGTGCTCTATATAAAAGCACCACAGCAGAAATAAAGCATGTTGTGAAGGTTTCTCTTGTGTTTGACATAAAATGTAAATATTACCGTTTTGATGAATAAAAAGATCAGGTAGTGAATAATGGGTCGAGTTAATATGCTGGAAAATAATAATAAATGTGTATGTTATAGTATCTCATGTTATCAGAAGATTATATACAATTCATAATTTATAAGAGATTATAACAATTCCATTAGTGAAGCCAAAGATCTACAAGGATAGAATGGAGCCAATCAGGATTAAGGAAGGACAAAAGATCGAGTTTCTCGTACCATTCGATGGAGAGCCCATGCCTGAGGTTACCTGGCTAAAGAACGACATCCCGATTGACCCAAGCCCAAGGTGTGTGTTAAAATCATGAAGGCTCGTACGTGTAGTAAAGTGAAAATTGAGAATATTTAATATTGAAAAGATGGTGCTAAGTGCTGCGAGTGGCCTTAAATGGTCTTGCATATCACGAGTTTAACTAGGCAGTGCGCCTACAGCTACCGAAGCAACATTCGGGTCCAATAACTGCACGATATGATCGCCACTTTACCGACAGTGCCACATGCTAACTATTTTGTATTCCAGGACGTCCATAGTAAACACCGCCGATGAGAAAACGGTGAAGAAGCAAACTCAGCTGACGACAAACGATGCTGTAAGACACGACTCCGGCATGTACACGCTGAAGGTGAAGAATGCCAATGGAGAAGACGAGTGCACGGTCGAGGTCGTCGTACTTTGTAAGTACGACAAACACGTAATTTAGTTTAGCAACAGTGAAGTTGTGTTGCATAATAATAAACGTAGGCATAAAAAGTCGTAAGGTATGAACGACATCGCGCCTGAAAAAGCGCAAACAACGGTCACTCGGTCTCTTCGGGTGAGCATGTATAACATCTAACTAGCCGGTTCTTCGCAAGTTGATGAATGTCGATGTTGCTGCAGCTCCTCCAGCCGCTCCCGGTGGGCCCCTCGACGCTGTCGACGTCAGGAAAGATCGCTGCAAATTGAAGTGGAAGAAGCCCAAGGACGATGGCGGGCAGGACCTGTCGCACTACGCGGTGGAGAAGTTCGACAAGGCGCTGGGAATCTGGCAAGAAGTTGATCGCGTCAAAGGAGAGGAATGTAATGTTGATAGGTACGCTATAATAATGAGATGACTATGGTTGGGTCGTGATATGGTAATAATATTGTTACACCTTATCTAATGTATTGATAATAGCGCTATTAACCTTTTGTATGTTTTATCTGATGTACTTTTATTTTGTTATTTGTGGTTATTATGAAACGTTTAGGCCTACACTCTATGTCATCAAAATGTTTTGTGATGTAATTTATCACCGCTTTCAAATATATTTTACATAAATTAGAACTACTTTAAGACTATTAACTTATTGACGCCAGCCACATATGACTTGTTTTGTTTAAAAAAACTCATTCGTCGTGCTTATCTAATCAGACTGAATCCTGGTCACGAGTACATGTTCCGTGTAAAGGCAGTCAACCGACAGGGAGAATCTGAACCGCTTGTGACACTTGAACCGATTGTAGCCAAGGATCCTTGGGGTGCGTATTACCATTGTTGCATTATGGCGATATATATTACTGGGCAAATGCGAAACGTGTGTGATGACTTCGGATATCGTCACAGATCTAGACCCATAGTCTAACATGTTTACGAAGAAAACCAGCATTTCTATTAGAAACCTCGTTTCGTCTAATGTCTTAATACACTCGTAGCGAATATCTCATCTTTATGTACGGACGTGTCATCGTTGTGCAGATCCACCGGGTGCTCCGGGCAAGCCAAACATTGAAGACTGGAATGTCGACCACATCGACGTGAGCTGGGACCCACCAATAAAAGATGGCGGCGCTCCGATCGAGGGCTACGTCATCGAGAAGAAAGAGAAAGGAAATCCGTTTTGGAGCAAGGCAGCTGAAGTGCCTGGAACAAGCTTCCGCGCTACGTGCCCGAACCTCGTTCCTGGGACGGAGTATGAGTTTCGTGTGCGGGCAGTCAACATCGCTGGAGTTGGTGACCCTAGTGAGGCCTCAAGGCCCCAAGTCGCTAAGGAGAGATACAGTAAGCAAGTTTTCTATGCTATAGGAATTCTAGCACACATTACGCATAGCAAAGACATTGGGTATACGAAAGATTTTATAAATTTACAAATGATAACCCACGTGATAAAATCGTATCATTCTCTTCATACAGCAAAGCCAGTCATTGACAAGAGCAAGATTCCGACAGAGGTGAAGGTACGGGCAGGGGAGCCATTCAGCCTGTCCGTCCCTGTTGAGGAAATCGAGCCGATCCCAACCATCCACTGGCAAAAGGATGGCAAGGACATTCACATGACAGACCGCATGGACGTCATTGAGAGCGGTAACCTTGCTGAGGTATGAGAAAATATTCTCCGGAATATTTATCCCAGCAAATTACAAAATTACCATCATTGTTCAACAGATAATGTTTAACTGATGTTGCGCGCGCGTGTCTGTGTACATGCGTGTGTGCACGTATGTATCCATATATGGCGTGTATGCGTATTTCCATTGATTTCGAAAATGCTATTTGCTCCAGGTGAACGTGCCTAGATCAGTTCGAGAAGATACTGGCAAGTATAGACTAAAGCTTAAGAACGACATTGGAGAGGACTTCATTGATATCAAAGTTAACGTTGTCGGTGAGTATATAATTAATTATTGCTACACACCACTATGATACCAGATGACTTGATATAATATGCGTAAGAATTTTTATAGCATTTGCTTAGTTGCCGTGTGTCTTTTAGCACTAATGGGTAGCGCTAGACCTAAACATGTCTACACACATCGCTCACTTGTTATTTGTTTACACAGACAAGCCTCAGGCACCAGAGGGCCCCCTTGAGGTCTCTGACGTCACAAAGACAAACGCTGTGCTGAAGTGGAAGCCACCTAAGGACGACGGTGGAGAGCCGATTAGTCACTACGTGCTAGAGAAGATGGATACAGCCCGCGGATCATGGGTCGATGCAGGCCAGACAGCTGGACCTGAGTGCAATTTCCAGGTGATCATTTATCCACTTTCAGACATGACAAATTTTGCCCAAGTAACCAATTTCTAGTACTTCAACACCATTCCCAAGAACAGGAATACACTTAGTAAAGTCTCATCTCGGTTCCTCACAACCCATTTTTAACGGGTCAGTATCTGACGCCGATAGTTGATATGAAAGATGATCGACCGGAGGAGGGTTATAATAGCACTCGCGGCATTCATGTCGCTCCTGACGCTCAGTACAAGGTGAATCTTCAGTAGTTACTGGTCGGCTGCTGTCTATTACGAGAACCCTGAGAAGAGGAGCATCGCGCGATCTGCTCATACGCTGAGTCATAAGTTCGCGTCGCGGTTGTATGACTTCAGGTTGAGAATCTCATGCACGACAAGGAGTACAAATTCCGCGTAAAGGCAGTGAACGTCCTCGGCGAGAGTGCTCCACTGGACACAGAAAAGGGTGTAGTCGCAAAGAACCCATATGGTAAGAAAGCCATCCTCGTATTCTGGCTAAGCGATTACAGCTGAAGCTGCGACTAAACAGTGACTTTCGCGACAACAGAGTTGCCTAACATTGCGCCGCTTGACAACATAGCGCCTTTTCAACAAGATAATTAAAATTCCTGATTTCTCAATCCTAACAATGCTCGTCTATTCGTCGTTTGTCACTTTCGAATAATATTTATGTGATGTAATTATGCGCAGACGAACCAGGGCAGCCAGGTACACCTGAAGTAACGGATTGGGATATCGATCACATTGACATAAAGTGGGCACCACCAGCAAATGACGGCGGTGCTCCAATAGAAAAGTACGTTATCGAAATGAAGGACAAAGCCAAGGGCACATGGGAACCCGTAAGTAATATTTATTAGTGTATAATCTATATACACAATACGATAATATAACAGTACAGCGCTTTGCGATGAAACAAACTTGTTTCACTGCTTTCACATCACGTGTTACCGTTTTCTCTGCAGGGCACGGAGGTTAGGGGAGACAAACATGATGCCACTATACCAAACCTGGAGGAGGACCATGACTATGAGTTTAGAGTGATCGCAGTGAATAAGGCCGGACCTGGTGAACCGAGCGAGGCTTCGAGACAGCAGAGAGCCAAGCCCAGACATTGTACGTATACACATCAGCGGCAAATGAAATTTACCTTCTTGTAACTGTACATTAAACGTCGCAGATAGCCGTGACTGTGTAGAGAGTGATGGCGACGACCACCATCGTTACATCTCTCAAAACATTAGTAGATTAATTGTTTCATCCACTATTAGTGATGTAATAATCCGACATATTTTATGATTTTAATAACGCGCGTGTGGTGTCACTTCCTTACTGCAGTGGCTCCTAGGATTGACCTTGGTGCCCTGAAGGACATCAGAGTCAAGGCTGGCCAGCCGTTCTCTCTTGATATTCCTATTGTCGGGGAGCCAATGCCTGAGGTCCATTGGACCAATGATGGCGGCGAAATACACGCAGACGACCGTGTTGAGTTCGAAAACACGCCCACGGCCGTCATACTGAACAACAAGTGCGCGAGACGTGGTGACACTGGCGAGTATACTCTGACACTGAGCAACGAGTCGGGTAGGACACAGGCTACTTGCAAGGTGGTCGTGCTCGGTAAGATAGTGCTAAATAAGATCAGTTACATAAAATTAGTATGATTCGATTAAACACGAAAATTATTTACATCTGCCATGAAGGCAGTTAATGGGTGGTGACCTAACGGTAGCCCCTTTACAATAAACATATTGGAGTTTACAAATTTTAAGCATATTGGATATGATAAATTTAAGACGTCTAAGGCATGGACTGCGCATTTCATGAAAATGTGTGTAGTTGCGCTAAATATTTTATGATTGGTATAAGATTTCTTATCTAGTACTTAGATAGTATGATGCTGGGCGCAGTAATTTGCAAAAATGTTTCTCGGGTTTTAGATAAACCAGCATCACCAGAAGGACCTCTAGATGTTGAGGATATCACCGCTGAAGGTTGCACATTGAAATGGAAACCCCCAAAGGATGATGGAGGCAGCGATTTGAAGTACGTTAGAATATTGATTAAATTAAATTTACAGACCTAATACAAATGCCAATTCACAATAATATAATTGTAGGAAGCGTTAAAATTACTTATTTATTTTGTTACGGTAGGCTAAACAATGAAAGGTAATACCTGTAGCATACAACTTCCATTCGTATACGATTTGTATAACGCTCCTATATTTGTATTGATCTTAAACATTGCATTTGCTTTTTGCAGTTCGAGTTATTTCTATCCACGCAAACTGCAGAATTTTGCTGAAACATGAACTGATCCTGAAAATGTCATTCTTGCAGCTACAAGGTTGAGAAGAAGGACGCAAAGAAGGGCACCTGGGTACCGGTGTGCAGCTACGTGCCTGGCACTAGCTACCATGTTGGCAAGCTACAGGAAGGTCATGAATACGAGTTCAGAGTGATTGCTGAGAACGTACATGGCGAGTCTGAGCCACTTGTCACAACCAAACCGATGGTGGCGAAGAACCCATTCAGTAAGCAGCGCCGATATATCATTGCGCACAATGTTGGCCAGTGCATGTATAATTTGTATACGTTGAACACTTTGTATACCGCGTATATCATGTAGGTATACGTTGAATGAATTTGTTTCTTTTTGATACGTTTTTGAATATTTCAAAAATGTTATTTTTTCACAGATGTCTCTAGTTCTCCAGGCCAGCCTAAGATTACCGACTCCGACCGCGACCACATTACTCTATCGTGGGACCCACCCCGGAGTGATGGTGGCTCTCCTATCACTGGCTACGACATTGAACGTAGGGAGAAGACTAGTGGACGCTGGATGAAGGTCAACAAAGAACCTTGCAAGGTCAGCTTGCACCCTGCCCCTTTTTACGATTATAGACGGATAGTTTCTTTAAAACTTCTACGTGTACATAAGGTCAACTATTATAGTAATGTTTCTTAAAACATTTGGCAAATATCTAAATAAGCGCAAAATAACACATTGCGTGTTTTCATCAAACAGAAAATTGAGTATACTGACAACTCGGTGAAAGACGGCAAGTACTATGAGTACAGAGTTGTTGCCCAGAACAAAGCTGGCAACAGTGCGCCCAGTCCACCATCAAAGATGCACAGAGCCAGGCCAATGAAAGGTTGGTTAAAAAGTTGGCATGTCCCTCCGTTAATATGAAACAAATGTACGCACGCATGCACTTCTTTTCAGCGATGTAGTTTTAAACATCGCTACTGCCATAATCCTTGGATGTGCCCCGCGTCAAGGTAAGCCTGTCACCTTCAATGAAGTGGCCCTTCTAGTGTACCTTACGTGGTGTGGATGATGCCGCACTCGAACAGGGTCGAACACTCTAATGCCATAAAACACACGCACGCATGCACACGCACACGCGCACGCACGCATGCACGCACACACACACACATACACACACACATGCACACAATCACACACACACACACACACACACACACACACACACACACACACACACACACACACACACACACACACACACACACACACACAAGATACTCAAACACACACACACACACCACACAACACACACACACACAGCACACACACAACTCACACACACACACACACAGCAAACAACACACCACCACACACACACACACACACACACACACACACACACACACACACACATACAACTGCACGCTTTTACACACACACATATTATTTCTAGATTCATATTTTATATATATATACGTATATATATATATATTATATATATTATTAATTCGCATATTTATTTTATTGTATTTATTTATTTATATATATTTATTTATAAAAACTATTTGATTATAAAAGTAATAAATAAAATAATTGGAAGAATAACGTTGAGAGTAAGTAAACCCATGGTAGGCGTTGATCGTTTTAACATATCGCCATTCATCACATTTCACTATTGTATCCATGCAGAAAAGCCCAGATGCTGGATGGATGGCGTACCGAAGGAGATCCGTGTGCGTGCAGGCGAGCCTCTCGATATCGACGTGCCCATCTCTGGCGGACCCCCGCCCGAGGTCGAGTGGTTGAAGGATGGCAAGCCAATTAACGAGGGCTTCCACGTGAAGATGGACAACGACGACGACGATGCGAAGCTGCACATCCCACGTTGCGTACGCGACGACACAGGCGACTACACGATCAAACTGAAGAACGAGTTTGGCGAGGACACCGGTGACATCAAAGTCATCGTGCTGGGTGGGTGTGTCACGCGTGGTGACAACGCGCAGACATAGCAGTCGCGGCATCCGGCTCAATCTCATTGATTCCGTCGCGATTTAAACCTTATAGGGTACAAGTAAGCTCTGTGGAATTTAGTTTCCCATGCTTCTGCTTTGTATATACATTCGGTAAAAAAAAAAATGCTGCAAGCAGTTATTAATTCTACAGCAATATTTTAGGAGAAAGTATATAACCCGCACACCAAGTGTTTCAAATGTCCTAAATATGGCCTATATTCGTGGTATAACGTGTTGTGCTTCTGCATTGCCTACATTATAGACAAGCCGAGCGCACCGAGGGGCCCAGTAACACCTATTGATATGACAAATGACTCTGTGACATTGACGTGGCAGAAGCCAACCGACGATGGAGGAGCTGAGATTACAGGTACGTACAATTACAATACCTCTAATATGGCTACGCACCATTAATTTTGCAAGCTCACAACACCTCGATCTAGCATCATAATGCGACCTTCAGTCTATCCGAAGACATACAGAATCTCAGAGGATCGAGTAACTTTCACGGTGATTTTCGTTTCGCAGGCTACATGGTTGAGAAGTGCATTGAGGGTTCGGAGACGTGGATTCGCGTTCCTGGCTCTCCCTCTGATACGAAATTCACCGTCAAGAATCTGGAGGAGGGCAAGAAATATAAGTTCCGCGTATCAGCCGAGAATGTGTACGGCACCTCCGAGCCTGTCGAGAGCAAATTCATTCAGCATAAGAACGCGTACGGTAAGCATTATCATCGCAGCCATTTTATCGCATCAAACACATACATTACACGTACGCACTTTCGCCGCGTATCGATGTGTGTCACATGGAAAGCTCGTCTGCGTGCAATTTCTATTTATAACGAAAACGGTTATTTGATAATAGTGGTCGTACGTGAGCAAATCCGTCGTATCCGCCGCACGTCATCTAATTGTATGTATGTTTGCACAGATGCACCTGGTGCTCCGAGCCAGCCGGCGATTACAGAGTACCACGCATACTCCATCAGTCTTGACTGGAAGAAGCCAGACAGCGATGGTGGAAATCCAATTGCAGGTAACGATTTGACAAAACAATCAGAGCGGCATGTTTGTCATTTTACGGCGAACTCGTTACAGACATATAACTAAATAAAACAGAAAAACACGTCATTAAAATATTTATTATTTATTATCTATATTATTATATTATACTATTTATTATCACACATATATTACAATGTATAGATATATATTTTATATTATTTTTGCTACTCATTTTAATATAATCACAATTAATATTTACAGGTTACATGATTGAGAGGCGAAACAAGGGTGGAAATGTGTGGACAAAGTGCAACATGACACCTGTGCCGACCACCAACTTCGCTGCTACAGGACTTACTGAAGGACAGACATACGAGTTCCGTGTGATGGCTGTGAATGCCGCGGGTCCTGGAGAACCTAGCCAGGTGTCGCAGCCACAGGTGGCCAAGGAACCTATTTGTACGTGTACACCGATTGTTGTGGCCATAGCCATAACGTATGGCGATTGATACAGCATTACAGCAGATATTTAATGACAGCGTTAACAGTAATACCACTTGTTTGTACTCAAAGCAATATTTCACATTAAAAATCAGCCTTGCAAAATGTTCATTGCATATAGAAAAAAATCGGATGCATTTTAGTTATCATCGTCGTCATCATCATCATCATTATCATGACTGTCACCGTCATTGCTATTATTAGTCAGTTATCTGCTCTTGATCATATGTAATATTGCTTTTCAACATTTTAAAACATCTTGTCAGCAATCTCTCTCTCACGTTCTTCCCTAGCCACACCTGACCCACCGGGTACAGTTACTGTGGACGACATCACCAGAAACTCCGCGGACCTCTCATGGGAGAAGCCCAAGAACGACGGAGGCAAACCTATCACCGGTTACATCATTGAGAAAAAGAAGGGAGATGGAGAATGGGAAGCTGCTACCAGAATCCCTGCTAAGGTATAGGACTGTGCGCAATGCACGGTGCCGCCATCTATACGTGGCTATTGTTGTCTTCGCGCGCCGCTCAGCACACAGTTAACACACGCCTAGACGATGTTCATTACCCGCTGCGCTCTATGCTTTAGGATACCTCTGGCAAGGTGAAGGGTCTCGAAGAAGGCGAAACGTACCAGTTCCGCGTGAGAGCCATCAACGAGGAAGGTGACGGCGAACCGAGCAAACCTACGGACCCGATCGTCGCCCTCAATCAGCCCGCCAAGCCGCACATCGACGTCGGCAAGGTGAAGGACATCGTCGTCAAGCACGGCGAAGACTTCGAGATCAAGATCCCGTACAAGGGTTGGCCCGTTCCCGGCGCCACGTGGGAGAACGCCGGCGCGGTAATCACGCCGGACAATGAGCGCATCTTCGGCGAGCAGACCGAGGAGTTTGCGATCCTGAAGACGAAGCAAGCCAACAGGGATGACTCCGGTCATTACACGTTGACACTACGCAACCCATCCGGCTCTGACACTGTCCACGTCAACGTCACCGTGCTCTGTAAGCGCTTACCGTTTATTCTATTATATATATATATACCTATATATACCTATTAGCTCGTGGAATATGATTCATGGCCCATGTGTTTTTCATTTTTCTTACTTACAACAGTTTTATTACAAATTTGTATTTGCAATAATAAATTTGTGTGCGTGTGTATGTGCGTTTAACAGCATTACAATGTTCGACCCTATTCGCGCAGCACCACCCACACCACCTAAGGGTCCACTAGAGGGGCACGACATTGAAGGAGACAGTCTGACCTTGACCTGGGGCGCACCCAAAGATGACGGCGGTAGCGATGTTTCAAACTACATCGTCGAGAAGAAAGAGCCGAACAGCAACCGCTGGGTGAAGGTGAGCAGTTTCGTCCCCGGAACGTCCTGTCGGGTGCGTAACCTGGAGGAAGGCAAGGCTTACGAGTTCCGCGTCTGCGCAGAGAACCAGTACGGCGTCTCTGAGCCACTGGAGACAATGGAGCCGATCGTCGCCAGACCGCCCTACGGTGAGTGTGAAAGTGCTTGTGGTAAATGCGAATAATAGCAGAGCAGTGTGCGAGCAATAGTCGTGGCTTTTTTTATATTGTCAGCAGGTGGACGTTTGCGCGTTTAAGCAAGAACAATCAATTACAATAAAGTGCTGAAAGTCGGATGCATTGTACCGTTATATTGTATAGATTATATATATATATATATATATTTATTTATTTATTTATTTATTTATATAATTTGTTTGGGTGTCTTATTATAAATCTGTTATCTATTATTATCTATTATTAGGATATAATATTTTTATATTATATGATACATATTCCAGCCATGCTCGTGTAATTACTGAACTTACGTATATTAATTAATATCAATGATTTTTAACGTTTGTAGAGACTCCCGGAGCACCAAGTCAGCCTGAGGCCACCAATCACACGGATAGCTCTATCAACCTTAACTGGGATCCACCAGTAAAGGATGGTGGCAAGCCAGTGAGGGGATACATTGTGGAGAAGCGCGAGAAGGGCGAACCACGCTGGGGCAAGGCATTACTAAGCCAGGTTTGTCCACAAATTTCGAGATTATGCCCTAACACACTGTATGCTGTTCGATCGCTTAATCACTGGGCATGTGGTGATCAACATCATTCTAAGAATTGTTGCCAGCAATACCACAGTCCATATCCTATAGGTTGCAGATCTGTATTACGTGACACGTCAACAGGAGGAAAGTGTTTTACCTGCGTGAAATCGCCTAATGAATCGCATGGGTTGCAACTGCAGGTCGTGCTTACCAGCTGTACAGTGCCAGGTCTCGTCCCAGGCAAGGAATACGAGTTCAGAGTTCGTGCCGTTAACGATGCCGGTCCCGGCAAATGGAGCGATGCATCCCAGGCTCTCATGGCCAGGGAACCTCCAGGTACACTCCCGATGTCGAACCCATCGCATTGCTTTAAGTGTAAAGTACAGCTGTGTGACATTGCTGTAAGGGTTAAAAACCAGTATAGGTGTTCCTGTGACATACGGTATCCACTATGTACCTCAATAAACCCTCTAGTTTTACCTTAGTCAAATTTGTTCCTCTGTTTAGATTTATGGGATGGGAATAATTTGCCTCACAGAGCTGCTTGATAGCTCCATAAATTTTGTTAGGTTAGCGCAGCTCGATGATAGTATTTATATATATATATATATATATATATATATGTATATATATATATTAAAAATATACATAATGAAATGATAAACGTATAGAAAATTGTAAGACACCGTACAGGGGAGAAGAATACACGGGGTCTGGCTCTTCTTAGAACTCTTAGAACATACTATCACCGAATATCTTCTCAGTCTGGTTACCTCCATAGACAATGCAGTGTATACATAATTAATCATAATATAAAATCAAACATCAAAATAATAAAACATAATTAATATAAATCAAATTGAATTACTTTCAGCCGCACCAAGAATTGACTTGTCCTTGCTGCCACGTGATCTCGTTGTAAAGGCAGGAGACCCATTCAAGATAAATATCCCGTACAAGGGATTCCCAGTACCAGTTGCAGACTGGGTGAAGGTAAGATTCTACCATAAGTGTGGGGACGCTGTGGAATTTAAATAATGGTGAAGGGCCTCGCTTGGGATAAGAATAGCCACATTTATTGTCAGTATTATATTTGCCAATGTGCACGTAGTTGTGTTCTTAGTTGTGAGAATTCTAATGGAATGTTTGCAAAAGTAATGAATTGATAGTCGCGTACTGTATACTATCAGTCACGTAACCTGCAATTGACATTCACGATGATTATCTCTGTTCAATTCGTAGGACGGCGAAGGAATTGCCCAGGACAAGCGAATCACGTTTGACAATGAACCTGGAGTGTCCATCTTCAACTGTAGAGGGGCGAAGAGGGGAGACTCTGGCCAGTACAGGGTGACATTGAAGAATGACTTCGGGGCTGATTCCGGTCTAGTCCATCTTACAGTTATCGGTAAGTTAGCTTTTATGATGAACGTGAAACTATTGTGTGAATGATAACAGGAGAATACATGTTAGCTAAATTACCTGCTATTATTTTTTCTTCGGAATCTCAATTCTCTGTAATGCAATCAAGCATCTCGTGCTGATCAGCTCTGACTGAAAGTTTCTTAGTTATTAATTACCTATTAAGATATCGCTGCTAATTAATTGTTATTTTGCCATCGCTTTTATAGATGTGCCAGTGAAACCAGGTGGTCCATTGGAGGCATCAGGCGTAACGCCAGAGTCTTGCAAGCTGTCCTGGAAGGTGCCAGAGGATGACGGTGGTTCTCCAGTGAGCAACTACAGCATTGAAAAGCAGGATGTTGCAACAGGTAGAGAAAAATCACAACAATATACATAAAGAACTTCTCTCGGTTTAGTCGATCAGGAGCAGAGCATTCCGACTCAACACGTTGATAATATATGCCAACACAGTAACATTAAACCTAACGTAAAATTGCTCCTAAAATTGTGCTAAAATGACACGAATAATAAATTGCTCAAGCTCTCTACTGTTATCGTTTAAATGAGTCTATTGGGATCGTCTGTAGTGAGTTTAATATAAGCATGCATAAACACTCAGTAAACTCATTGTGATCATGTGTAAAGATGTTGGGCAAATGTGTACATCTAGAAATTGTATCGATTATATAGAACCATTATTGTCCACAGGCAAATGGGATAAGGTGACCGCATTCTGCAGGCAGCCCGAGTACACCGTAATGGGACTACAGGAAGGACACAAATACAACTTCCGTGTGGTTGCTGAGAATGAGCACGGAAAATCCATCCCGTTGTATAATGACAAACCGATCACAGCCAAGCACGACTTTGGTAAGAAACTAGCCGTGCTATACTGCAGCATGCAAATATCTGAGACAGGTCTGGTAGTTCTGATGAAGAGAACATCATAGAAACCCACGCGTTGTCTCAATACCGTTTGATGTTCAATGGTTGAAAACGCGTTCCTACGCGAAGGCGCTCTGTATGCACGCTTATACTGGTATGTCGTACCTTCAGATCCTCCCGGACAACCGGGCTCTCCAACTATCGAGGACTACGACTCAGATATGGTCGAACTGGCCTGGACCAGACCTGCCAGTGATGGCGGAGAAAAGCTGGATGGCTTCATTGTTGAGTGCCGGGAATTAGGAGACAAGGACTGGCACACTGCTACGCCAGTGCCAGTTAAGGAGACTCGCACCATAAGTACGTGTCGCAATACTGCTGCGAATAAACGTAATGTAACCGAAGAGCAAACTAGATATTGAACTAAAAGGAGAGATGTATCTTACATTGTTAAAACTATATTTTAATGCAGTAAAATACACACAAAGGAATTCGGTATGCATAAGGCGTTGTTCCAACAAAAAGAAAAAGAAACATAAACACGTTTATTTATATTTTAGTACCCAACCTCCAAAAGGGCAAGGAATATGAGTTCAGAGTCGTGGCAAAGAATGCAGCTGGCCTCGGCAAGCCAAGCCACACGTCACCATCAATCAAGCTCAGACCCAAACCAAGTAAGCAAAATTAAATATCTAGAGATGGTTCCCAGCACTACGCATTTCGTATTAGAGGAACACTGGGAAAACTATATCTACTGGTTAAATCAATGCAAGACATTATCATGAGAAAGAAATTTCCGTTTTAATTTATGTTAAATTTAATTATAATAGTTATCACGTAGCCAAGCTGATGAAATCGTCTTTCTTCTTATTTAGAACTGGCATCAAGCCCGGGTATGCCGCAGACTGGAAAGATTGGAAAGACCTTCTGTGAACTCACGTGGGATCCACCGAGGAACGATGGCGGTTCACCAATTACAAGTACGTAGTTATCACACTTTTCCACTAGAACAATTTTTATTAGAATATCATTTAAAGTTGAACGTCTTAATCACTAAATCGATACCAACCGTCAGACAATTATGCCTCGGCTCAATCTTTGTCTATCAACCTATTTACGACAAAACTTGATCTACGCAACCAAATATAGTTGTTTATATCTATCATATTCTAAACCCGTGTATTTCTTTCGATCAGGCTATATCGTCCAGGGCCGTCCGCGCAACAGCACCAACTGGACAAAGATGAACGACTACTCGTGTATCGATCCTTGCTTCATGGTCACCGGCCTCCACGAGGGAGGCGAGTTCGAGTTCCGCGTGATCGCTGTCAACGCGGCCGGAGAGAGCGAGCCTAGCTATGCTACTGCGCCAATCCTCATCAAAGACAATGGTGAGAACCCTATCGATCGGCATCACTATTAATGGTATTAATCATGGGACAATATTTTAATTGGATATTTTCTTAAATGCTTTGCGAGCCGCGGTGGAACATTCGTGCGATTTCTCTAACGAAAAATCTCCTGTATCGCAGCGCAAGCCAAACCGGAGTTTGTCCGTAAGTTAATCAACTCAAGCAGTCCCACCGGAAAGGAAGTCACCTTGACCTGCGAGGCTGTGGGCAAACCCACACCCAAGGCTAGATGGTAAATAGAACGTTCCTTTGTAAGATATGGTTATCTGAAAAGAAGGTACATTTTAGTTGAAGAGTATTGCCACTAGCTTGTCACCATCACGTAAACAGAATAAGCAAAGATCCACGTACAACACACATCTACTCTATATCAAACCTATATTCACCAGTATATGACATCACGCTGCCCAGGTTTAGATAAAAGCTCCATAGCTTATCATGAATAACAAGACATATTCATCATATTCTTTACTTATATAGTTCTGAAGCTCATTAGCTTCTAAAGGCGTATCACTCAATCAATGAATGTATGTATTATTATGACCTGATGGCTGACTTACTACGCTCTCTCCCCGTGTTTTCGCTCAGGTTCAGAGATGGAGTTGAAGTATTCACTGGCGTACGAGTTATCCTCAAAGAGGAAAATGGCGTCTTCCATTTCACCATCCCCAATGTCACTGAAGATGACACCGCCGAGTACACCTGTGTGTGCAAGAATGATAGTGGCAGTGACACCACAAGCTGCAAGTTCACCGTCCAGGGTGAGTACCAAGGAATACCTGCAAGGAGTCTTTCGCTTTTTGTCCTGCAAGCTTAATTCACATTAATGGGCGTCCAGAAATTACACAGGCTATAACGATACAGAAACGTCAACTAGACAACAAATTAGCGGTCAACTGCATTAAATCCTGTTAGAATTTTGCCTTCATCGTCTATCAATTGGAGATTTGCCTGTGCAGATATCAAGTTTCTCCGCGTTTGCATGCTATCACTGATAGTCTACGGCCCATAGAATCTGTTTCTTACATTCTCACTCTCTTTATGATTAAGCTCCACCAAGACTGGGGTCAGAGCCAGATGATCAGTTGGTACCAGAGGGAGACACCCACAAAGTGCGCGTTAACTTCTCGGGCGATGGGCCTTTCACAGTCCGTCTCTTCAAGGATGGCAAGGAAGTACCCGTAAGTACAATTTTCCGTTATCTAGCGTTTACCAATGAGGAAACTAAGTTATGTTACCTAAATCGTCCTCCGGCTTACAACTGTGTGCAATAGCGTAAACAAGCAGTATTGATATTTTCGGCACGTATTACAGGAGAACGACAGTGTCAAGGTAGTGCCGTTCGACGACTTCGCTAATATCACGTTCAAGGATGCAAACAGGGAAGATGATGGCCACTACAAGGTTGTTATTGAGAACGACAGTGGCAAATGCGACGCGGCCTTCCACATGAAGGTTCTAGGTAAGATGCGCATGTATGGAAATGCATATGTGTGAATCTTAAAGGGGCTTGTGATTTGTACCAACGTTCACCAGTACTTTGATCAGATATAGAAATAACTGACTATGGCTTGTATTGTGTATATGGCTTATCTTAGTTTTATTACTAACTCCGAATTATCTTGTGTGTTACAGCTCCACCTGGCAGGCCTACCGGACCAATGAACATCTTCGACGTGGGCAAGAATAATTGCACACTGTCATGGAAGCCACCCAAGACAGACGGAGGCAGCCGTGTTACACACTACGTGGTGGAGAAGCGGGACACGTCCAGGCCTGCTTGGACCACTGTTTCGGCCAGTTGCAAGGTGACTTTAAAAACACTTTTATAAATTCTATCTGCAGTCGGCTTTGTAAATTAAACCTGTCCACTTCGTTTAGCTGTCGAAAATAGCAGATTTAGGATGTAAGATATACGAGTTCAGCGTTGAATTGACGATTGCGAAAATACGCAGAATTACGCGTAATGTACTACATTGTATATCAACAGGATACAACGTTTACACCAAACAACTTGATGGACGGTACAGAGTACGAATTCAGAGTGATGGCCGTCAATGAAAATGGCGACAGCGAACCACTGTACGCTGATGGACCCGTCACCATCCGTCTGCCATTTGGTATGTGATGGAGTCTGCGAACACAGCCGAAAGTTTCGTAGTTTAGAAGTAGTATAGGGCAAGTTAAAGCAAAACAATAGCATTATGACGAGGTTTACAGTATTTATTTTATGTGTGTTATGGTCAACACATTAAACTTGTAAATCATTCCTATTTTGTTCACTATAGATCCGCCAGGCCCGCCAGGAGTTCCCGAAATCCAACAGGTTGGAGGAGACTTCGTTAGCCTCACCTGGGACAAACCATCAGATGATGGAGGCGGCAGGATCACTGGCTATTGGATAGAAAAGCGTGAAGTTAATGATGACAGGTATGCATAGATGCACTGTGCTGACACAAAACTGCTTGACATGTTACACACTATTCAATCAAAAACTCATACATTCGTAGGTATAGTCCCGATTTCTTTTTACAAAGAGTTTCCTGTTTTAATTAAGAACCAGGGAGCGAAGCTTCTATAATAATTCTAAAAACCAATAACTTTAAAAAAGAAACAAGGCAATTCAACGGTAAATAAACAGCATACATAACAATCATATATTTTCATACACAGTAATATGTCAGCAATCCTAATTATGGAAGGAAATCGTCTTACTCCAGGTGGAACCGCGTTAACACACAGCTGTGTCTCCCAACCATCTTCAATGTGTCCAACCTCATCGAGGACAGGCAGTACGAGTTCCGCATTTTCGCTGTGAATGAGGCTGGTCAGAGCAAACCTTCGGCCAACTCAACTCCAATTAAGATAAAGGATCCAAATGGTAAGCTTTGCACGGTGGAATTATAGGTGGGATCTAATTAAGAAAAAATGGGTAATTGAGTTTAGCTGTGGGTTTATTAATTTCATATAGCTGTTAACATTTGTGTTTATTTTTTGGCTTTTTGTGATCGCACTCCACGTCATTTGCAATTAATTTATAATTCATTATTTATTTTTTAAGCACCGAGGTTACCAGTCTTCCTCAGACCCCTCCAAAACGTTATGGGTGTTCAAGACAAGTCTGCCCAGTTCGAGTGTGAGATCGATTGTCCACCAAACACAAAGATTCAATGGTACGTGATCTATATTAATTCAACTTTTTACATTCAACTGCACGAGGCACATTTGGTTTGCGTATTTGTAACCTTTCAATGTCTGTTAACACGTTACACACGAAGCACGAGTCACCTTGTGGGAACAATCAAAACGCACAAACATCCTGATCAGGTGTTAGTATAGAAAACTATTGATGTTTGGTTGAAATGAACACTTATATAGGGTACAGGGGCAGAATTAGCCTGTTTTCATAGTCTTGGCGCAAACTATAAATTATTCTATACAATCTTATCCTCATGACACGCCGGGAAACGCATTGTTAATGCACAAAAAGTGTCGTGACGTGTTTTGTAATTTTTTTTAAACGCCCTGGACCAGCTATACGACTAAAAGCGAATACCATTCTTCGATTACCACAGGTTCAAGGGAACAAGAGAAATCTTCCCGGGTAGCAAACACCAGATGTTCCACGAGGGCGACCGTCACTTCCTTGTCATCAGCAACATCTTTGGCGAGGATGCTGACGAGTACGTATGCCGTGCTACGACCAGAGCGGGAGCTAGAGCTTCCAGAGCCGACCTGAAGATTAAATGTAAGCATTCTTTTATCGGTATAGTTGTAGCAATTGATTTTGTTTTGCCGTTTTTCGGAAGTCCTACAGAAAAAATGTCATCTGCTCTGCTTTCGTTACATTTTGCTAATATCCATGGTTAATAGTTAATGGTTCCATGGTTGTCGAATGCAGTTATAACCGCGAAAATCTCCGCTATCCGCCCTCTATTTGCAAGGCTATTACATATTATCACAATTTGTTAAACTGTGTTGTCAGTAATGAATATACGTTTATTTTGCCTTTAGCTCCACCAAAGATCAAGGTACCACCGCGCTTCCAGGCGCCAGTTACATTCGAGAAGGGTGAGACGATTGTCATCAAGCTGCCATTCACTGGCTATCCCAAGCCCAGAGCTATATGGACACACGATGGCGAAGATATTATCAAGGGTGGCCACTTTGACGTAAGTCCATACGAGTAGAGCATTCGGTCAATGAGTACGCAACAGGAAATAGAAATTAAGAGTTGTAAAATCTATATATTTGCGGCACGGCAATATTATGCAATTATACTCGTAGCACGTTTTCGATGAGCTATGCATATGAAATTTCCGTAATGTATAAGTTAAGTTACAAGGTTAACGCACCTGTAGCAGAATGGAATTGACAATTGACCAGCATAGTTTGAAATCTCATGCAACGCAACGTACTTTGGAAAGATTATGTATATTAAATGAAAATTTCGGTAAGTGGCACGTAATTTTATCGTGAGCATGCTTCGGATACCTACAGATGGAGGTCCTGGACAGACACGCTGTTCTTACTATCAGAGAGCCTGAGAAAAGACACAGTGGTCCTTACAGACTCATCTTGGAGAATGAGCTCGGACAAGACAGTTGCGTTGTCAACGTACAGGTCAACGGTATGTCTCCGCCTGATGGCGTTTGCTCAGAGCTTCAAATTAACACAGATTTTTGGTTTATAAAATTAAGAAAGCTGTGCAAATATTCTTTTTGAACGGGTGGCATCAGTTGTTTGTGGGTAGATTACCTTAGTTATTATGGTCAGAATACTATAATGTTTTGCATGGCAATGTACATACCCCCTTCTCTCTCACACACACTCTCTCTCTCTCTCTCTCTCTCTCTCTCCCTCTTCCTCTCACTCACTCTCTCTCTCTCTCTCTCTCTCTCTCTCTCTCTCTCCCTCTTCCTCTCACTCACTCTCTCTCTCTCTCTCTCTCTCTCTCTCTCTCCCTCTTCCTCTCACTCACTCTCTCTCTCTTTCGTTTTCACCATCTTTTTTTTCTAACTCACCTTTCATTCTATCTCTCGTTCTACTCGGCGACTGTAGATCGTCCGGAGCCCCCTCGCTTCCCGTTGATCGAGAACGTGCGTGATACGTCGGTCTCGATCTCCTGGAAACCACCACTGAGTGACGGTGGCAGCTTCATCACGGAGTACGTGCTAGAGTATTGCCAGCCGGACGGTGCCAACCCGGACAGACACAAATGGAACCGCGTTGGAAGCACGAGGTATATCTGCGTGAAATATTACCGCAGGCGTCGGCGAGTTGCTACGAACAAGATCGTGTTTAGGGAAGATCACCTGGTATCAGTTGTGCAGCTGTGTTCCATGTGCGAAAACATCATTATGTAAAACCTGGTTTGGTGGGCTACAGCCATAAAATTAAAATCAATGATGAAATACATTTCTTGCGGAAATCGTATAAGGAGATCACGCGCATGAATTATCAACACAGCATTTCCGAATTGCAATTGTACGAGTTGGTAAGTTAACGGCTAGTACTGTGCTGTGTACGTCGTGATTAATGACATGAGTGTCGTTTGCGCTAACCTCGGACGTCCTTTTTCAGGTTTACGCACTTCACAGTGGAAAACCTAAAGCCAAAGACGGAGTATATGTTCCGCATCGCGGCTGAGAACTTCTATGGTAGGAGCGAACCATGCGAAGCTACTGCTCCAATCCGTACACAAGGTATGCAGATAGTCATGGTGTTTGTTACCGACAATTACAGATTGCCGTTGTGCGCTTACTTCATTAACTAAAGATACTAATAGAGTATAGTTGACGAGAGAGGAAAAATGGGTTGTTGTGGCAGGAGCGGTACGCCGGCGGTGGCGGTGGTTGTGGTCGTCGTTATCGTCATCGTCGTCGTCGTCGTCGTCGCCGTCGTGACCGTGGCCGTTGGTAGTGGCAGTGATAGTAGAGGTGGTAGTGGCCGTAGGTGGTGGTGGGTGCGGTAGTGGCGTTCGGTGGTGGTGGGTGCGGCAGTGGCGTTCGGTGGTGGTGGTGGTGCGGTTGTAATGACGCTAATAAAATCATGAAGCTAATGGAATTCACCGTAGCTACAATCGTTAAATGTCTTGTTTATTACGCTAGTAATCGTTATATATTAACTATATGTACAGTGCCTTAATGCGCATATGCCGTGTTGATTCATAACAATTGTTTTGTTGTTGTACAATTAATTTCATTGCAAAAGTTTACAAACATCAAGCGCCGTTCATATAATATCAATAAATTTATTTTCGTCAATTTATTTTAATTTGTATGTGTTCATCTTTCATCTCATCTATTAAAACTAATATGATCTTTTATAAGATTGCAACATTATACCAATTTATTAGTAAATAATACGCATTATTATCAGCATGTCTTCTTTAGCGGTGTCTTCATAATCACAATCACATGCGAAACAATCTCGTTGTGATTGTGTTTGCGTGTTAACAATCATTTGATGGCTTTTACTTTTTAAATTACCTTCTAAACTGTGACTGGGAAATTACTACAATGCAGAAGGTTTGTATGAAGAGAAGCTTTTTTTTCGTTTTTTATATTGTTTTTGGGGAGGGGTATTTTATATCACAACCCTAGTTTATACGTATCATATATTATTTTGCTCCTGTGCCTTAAATATTATACAAATTATTATGACATGAACTCTACCATCTCAAGAATTCATTGTCTGTTGTCTGTTATTGTATATTGTCTGTTTCTTCCATCTTTAATCATAGCAAGGTTCTGTCGTTGGCATTTGTACGAAACCAGGTTTATCTCATAAGAAATTTAAAGGAATGAAGTACTCCTCAGTTCGCTGATGATTAATTCGCTGCTAAGTAATAAGAACATATAATGGTCATTGTGTCAGATACTGATTTACTTATATTTAGTTACCGTGCATTTAATATTTCAGACTTTGAGGGATCCAAAAGACAGAGAGCAGGAGGCTGGGAAGGTAAATCTTATCATCGTTACGCCATTGTATCTGAATAGAAGAGAAATGCTTGAGTATCTAATCGACCGTTACAACAGTGTTGATCATTCATTGTGCTCGCAAATGGCACTATCGTACAAAATTATTGTTAGATCGGTTGCATGTTTCTCGTGGATGGGGATCTATGACTAACAAATCATTATTTGTTTTAGATGAAACTGGAAGGAAAATTAGAGGAAAGGGCCCCAGAGCTGACGACTATGATATGTATTGTAAGTATATAATGAGATAATTCTTATATTGCGTGAGAAGGGCAAATGAGTCATGCGGATATTGTCTATTGGGGGATTGTAATATAGTCATAATGGAAATGCTGCACGGCTAAAACATGTGACAATGTTTTCCTTGCGAGATATTGATCAGGGAATAATTTGTTTAATTAAGCCGACGACTGAACCATCAAATGACCATTCAGTGTTATGTTGAAGCAATAGGTATTTAGTCGATCACAGCGTAATAATTCTACCCGCCTGTAAATTTTAGGGTATGACTACTACAAGAAGTACGTTCCCCAGCCCGTCCGAATCAAGCACGGAAGCGTATACGATGACTATGATATCTTGGAGGAATTAGGAGTGTAAGCATATAGTTAAAGAACGCGCGACGTAACGAAATCCCTACCTACGTTTACTCTCGTGTTTGGTCGTCACACACTTGTCATCATGTTCAGTATCGATATTATAGTCAATAGCTATAGTAGTTATAGTTATTAGTTATAGTTTATATATAGTATCAATAATGAGTTGAGTATTAATAGCGTTGCTGTCGTTGTGTCGTCCATCAGTGGAGCGTTCGGCGTTGTGCATCGTTGCGTGGAGAGGGAGACAGGCAACGGATTCGCTGCCAAGTTCATCAACACGTCAAACCCACGAGACAAGCGCACGATCCAGAACGAAATCGACATCATGAACAACCTGCATCACCCCAAGCTGTTGCACTTACATGACGCCTACGAGGCACCCGATGAGATGTGTATGATCATGGAATTGTGAGTATAATGTGTATACGATGATTCGCTGTTTTATACACTCCAGTGCGCGCATCGCGCTCGACTCAATATGGGAAACGCGTGGTTTTCACGCGCACTCTCTCGCTCTCTCTCTCTCTCTCTATATATATATAGAGAGAGTTTATTATATATATATATATATATATAATCTTTTTCTACCCCGTCTATCTCTGTTTGTTTGTTCTGTTTTTGCATTATTATCTAAGGCTTCACTTGCCTCTTCCATGTTGCCTAATCGGGCTTATCTGCGCTTCGGCCTATTACCTTTCCCCTCGTCGCCTGCCCACTTGTCCCCCTTCTTTCCCTCGCTTGTGAGCGCGTGCACGCTCTCTCTCTCTCTCTCTCTCTCTCTCTCTTTCTCTCTCTTTCTCTCTTTCTCGCTCTCTCTCTCTTTCTTTCTGTCCTGTTCTGCAATTTCCCCCACATGACATTTCCATGTCGACACTTCACACAGCTTGTCCGGAGGAGAGCTGTTCGAGCGCATCACAGCCGACACGTACAAGATGACGGAGGCCGAAGCAATCAACTACATGCGACAGGTGTGCGACGGCCTGCGACACATGCACGAGAACAACATCGTGCACTTGGACATCAAACCCGAGAACGTGATGGCGACGACGAACCGCAGCAACGAGGTGAAGCTCATCGACTTCGGCCTGTCGGCGAAGCTGAACCCCAACGAGCCGGTGACGGTGAGCACGGGAACAGCCGAGTTCGCTGCGCCGGAGATCGTCGATCGAGAGCCGGTCGGCTTCTACACCGACATGTGGGCCATCGGCGTACTGGCCTATGTCATGTGAGTACGCGACTGTGCGCGAGTGAGCTCAATGTTATCTCACGAGAATGGCAGGAATATTTACTTATTATATTAATGATAATTATTATATTAATTATAAATATTAATTTAATTTAATATTATTTACTTAAGGAATGTGCGTTTTGTGTGCGGTTGCACCGCCTACATATGAAACACTTGTGAAATTTTGCGATGCACTTCGCTGTTTTTGCAGTTTGAGTGGACTGTCTCCATTCGCCGGCGACAATGATGTCGAGACTCTTAAGAACATTAAGCGATGTGACTGGATCTTCGAGCCAAATGCTTTTAAGGGCATCTCAGACGAAGCAAAGGATTTCATCAAGAGCCTAATCTTGAAGGATAAGAAGTATGTCATTAGTTATCTCTGAATTAATCGATCCGATTCTGGTTAGGCTGAATTGGATGATTGATAAAGTGTTTTTTATATCGGTTATCGCGAAAATTTGGCTACATTCTGGTTAGAATTTTAATGCATTGTAGATAATTTTTTTCTATGTTCTTAATGCTTATAGTACCTATTGTGAAATTTGCGACGGTTAGTTCTGTATTTTAATATTTATCCGTCTAGGTCACGTATGACGGTGCATGATGCTCTAGACCACCCATGGCTGAAGGGTGACCTGAGCCACTACAACAACAAGATACCTAATGAAAGATATCGCAACATCAGAGACAAGATCAGAGAGAGATACGTGAGCATGATCCTTCTGTTTGAATATTAAGTTTTTAATATGTCATAGTGCGGAACAAAAATAATTGCCAACTGATCCAATATATTTCGTCAGTTCATTATTTAAATTTAAAACATTAGTGTATTTTTTCGCTGTTATTCATGTATTATTGAAATGGTTTCTCAATATGCTTCTCAAAGTTGTGTAAATTCTCCTAATGCATAGTATCTAGTTTAGATATTATCTAAAAGATTAAACGTAACAAATTTGTATCATTCTCGCAGGCTGCGTATCCAACACCGATGCCGCCTATTGGTCGCATTGCGAACTACAGTTCACTGCGTAAACACAGACCTAAGGAGTATGAAATGTATGAGAGCACATTCGGTAAGTGAGAAATACACTAAACGGCAGTAAGAACTGTATAACAGTTCTATCGCGATGTGAAATGTCGGTTTCTGGAAGTTTCACTGTGTTTAGTAGTGGTGCACGTACGTAGAAAACATTGACTATACTCCGGCAAACAAGAGAAGACCTTACACGTATTGTGTTGTTATGACCTTCAGACCGCAGTGAAGCTGCCCCGAGGTTCATCGTGATGCCATTCAGTACAATGGCTATTGAAGGTAGGAGCGCCACTTTCGACTGCAGGATTATCGCACCATCTCCGCCCGTCGTCTCGTGGTAAGTTCGTGGGTTTTCGTTTTATGTAATCGCCTAGATATACGTGATTCTCACATCTCACTGCTCTAAATAGCGATGACTATTTATATTAGCTTTTTCACACATTCACCGCTTGCTTACATATACTATACGGTCTCTAAATAAATTCAAATCTCTTAAATACCTTCTTCATCTTGTAATCTGAATGAAGCTACTCATCTTTGATGACGACTACTCTACTATATTCCTCATGCAGTGCGTAATGGACTTTAATGTATTGATGACTCAATTTTCCCAGGTATCACGGAGGTGATCAGCTGTCGCAGTCTGGCAAATACATGCAGAAGTACTTCGGCAACGACTACAAGCTCGTCGTGAACAGGTGCAAAGTGGACGACGCCGGAGAATACATTGTCTCGGCGACTAACTCATTTGGAACCCGCGAGAAAACCGTTCACCTGAGAGTCGAAAGTGAGTCCATGTTACTAATACATTCGCCGGCAAGACGTCTGCTTTTAGCATGACGGGGATGCTATCCCGTAGTGTAATTGGATGATGGGTAATTTTAGTATGTTCTAGGCACCGTTTCATCTCCCTTTGCCGCAAGTCGCATTGTCATTTCTCTTTTGTCGACAGGAATCCCAGAGGTGCACCAGCTGCCATTCCGCAGCCTCTCTCCGACTAGAAGAAGGAGGTGGACTGTACGAATGGAACACTGGGGTCTGCCCGAGAAAAAGGCACCACGATTCGATTTCGCTTTGCGTTCTCGCTTCATCCAAGAGGGCTTCGGCGTAAAGCTGTCCTGCTGCATCACAGGAAATCCGATGCCATCAGTAAGTGCGAGACGCTGTAGCTTGACCGTTGCCAAGCAATATTCGTCCCGCAGATGTTTTACTCATCACTTCCTGTTCCTATCGTACACTCAGATATCCTGCACGACGTGATTTATGTATGTAATATAAATAATACAACTTTAATGCACGTATAATAAAAAACAATTTATTTTATTTTGATTATTGAAATATTATAAAGCATGGCAGTCAAAATATCTATCTAAATGATACATGAAGAAACGCGTTTCTTTTATACACGATGTAAATATTCATCGACCTGGCGCAGAAACTTAAACACTTGTACTCCACTGATAAGCGCCCGCTATTAACAGTACAATCAATCGATTAACAACTATCATGGTTCTGCCACCTACAGGTACAATGGTACAAGGAAAACGTTCCTATCACTGATGGCTTCCCCTACAAGATTAGCTACTCGGCCGGCATGGCTGAGCTCCACCTGAACACCACAAAGATGGCAGACGCCGGCAAATATTCGCTAGTTGCTTCCAACAACCTTGGAGAAGCAGAGTGCAACTGCCGACTGTCCATCAATCGTACGTATTCTTACATCATTCCCGTGTGCCTGGATAGAGAGCAGCCCTGCAATTAGCCATTACCCCCGAGAATATTGTTGAATCTCATAGTATGTTGCTCAATGCGGCCGCTTAGTTTTCCTGATGGGTGAACCAGACCTGCGTCAAGAGTAACATGCTTACGAGCAGTAGAGTAGTACTTATTAGTAGGAATTGACGTCATGTTTGGCTTTGGTTGCAGCGAGAGAAGATCCACGGCCCAGAACTTCGCGAAGGTTTACTAGCAGCCTTCCGATTGACCAGATCATCAAATCCGAACCGTCAACACCAGATATAAATAACATAGACCTGCCGCGAGGCCCAGCCAAACGATATGGCGCAGCCAAATCACAGTTTGCGCCCGAACGTAAGCGCAATCCAGTTGTATCAGGAGTAGATAATAGAGAACTATTACTATACTCTATTCTATTTCTATTACTATAACTATTACTATATATAACTCTATTATCCACTCCTGGTTGTATGCTATTTTCGTCACCGTGTTGCAATGAAGTAAACGATGTATACAAATATTTCACTAGCATGCATATTTACATGGCATTACATGCCTCGAAAATTCACTCGTATTTATAATTATGTACTTATATGCGGATAGCGAGAAAGCCAGGCGTCCGAACACCGTGTTTCACTGAGAAGCTCTTCAGACAGACAGTAAAAGAAGCACAGCCGGTACTTTTCACATGCAGAGTAGTCGGACAGCCCGAGCCCGAAGTGAAATGGTACAAGGACGGGCAGGTGAGCGCACATGATAGCGATTTCTGTGAATGCTGGGTAAATTAATTGGGAATATATAGTAAACACATTCTGTATTGCTATCGTACGTGGTGATGCGATGTTTCATGGTTTTTATGCTTTTGTATTCCTGATTTCACGGATGATAAATAACACATCTATCATCCATAAAATCAGGAATACATAAGCATAAAAATGATCGTAGTTCGCAACTACACTGCGCGGAGGTTTGCAAAATTACCACTTGTGCTTCAGGAGCTCGCATCCTCCGATGCAATAGACATAAAGTACAAGGACGGAGTGTGCACATTAGGGATTGCAGACACCATAGCCGAAGACGACGGAGAATATACCTGTAAAGCCGTTAGTAAGGAAGGTTACGACTCTACGTCTGCAAGATTAATAATTAAAGGTGAGTTATAATTAATTGGAGGGGGTCGTTTAAAAAAAGTGAGGTTTAGGATATTTAGTAATTGCTAACGCAGGATTGAAGACTATTCTATTTTAAACATTTGATGCCAATTTTTTTTGTAAACGACGGTTCTGAAAAACGTTTCATTTTTAGCCAAAGGCTCTATATCTAGCGATGGACTTAATGATGAATCTCATTCATTCAACGGCATTGACAGCTCACGTAATAAAACTGCGACGCAGCTATAGAAATTTTATGCCCGTCACCCAACGAGATTATTATAAGACATTATTCAAATATCGAATACTAACATGACATAGTTATTAGTATTTGACATATAACAGGGGTTTCTATGACAAATAATGGTGTACCATAATTAAAACACGTATTTCAAATATTGACAGGCAGCTAGCCCATGCACAACTGCGCCACTTGTAATTACGTATAAGTCGAAGAAATATAATAGCAACGTCTTGAGCGCATGAGTAATTTCTCACTCGGCTATGCTCGATCTATTTGCGTAACAATATGTTTCTGTTTGTTTGTTTGTTTCAGCCTGAAAGTGATGTGAAACCCAGAGAGTTAGAGAGGTTTACGAGATGTGTATATGCTGCCAGCGGTAAACATTGTCACCCGTGGGAAGTCGCTAACGTGTGAAGTTCCCTTCCACTTTTTCATTATGTTTGCCATTTCGTCCGTTTTGCGTACCGCGTTGAACTGATTTCTGCGTGGGGCGCACAACCTGAATAGAGCTTGTAGTGCTTCTCGTCGTTTCTAGGCATTTACTGTGTGACGCTTTCAACTATTTTCGCGCTCCATTCTATAATTTGGAAGCTTGCGAATTCCTTTAACGTAGTTCTTATTAGTGTTTTTCTGCGATATATGAAATGGCACGTATCCGAAATAGTGACACATTAATCTACGTGTCATTGGAAAATGTATATTAAATATTAAATTATATCTATGAAGAGCATTCTTAGGCAGCTTTAGAAAGATTTAATGTTACGAAGCCCAGGCAGCTAGTTTTGTACAAATTGAAATAGTAGTACTAACAATTGCTATTTTTGCTGAACTCTGCTACCCGGTACACCCTCCCCGGTGGGTGGCCAGCTGTCAAGCGAGCCGCTCCCATTTTCGTGTGAACAGCAGGCGTGGTATTTAGTAAGTTTCCGTCCTGTCGGAGTGTTTGTGAGCCGGGTAAAACTAATCAAGATAACATATTTATCTTCATCTGTTCGTTAAGACTGTTTAATCTGGTTATAGTTAAATTATGAATTGGAAGGCTCACGTTTTGATACCAGCCATGCCTCGTGACTGAGGGACAACTTTGTCACCCATTTCACACTCCGTTTCACCTGTTTCAACTTTGTCATCCCGTTGTCACCGCAGGGGACCACCGAGGATTTTACTAGACGGCATATGTCTATGGTAACGGCCCAATAAACATTGAGGGCTTGCGGAGTGCACGAGTATCAAAACTATGAGCCTTAAAGTGTTGTAGCAACTCAAATGTTTATATAAATACTCAAGTGTTTATGAAGTTGTTCTTATGGAATTTAGATAATTTACTTTCGTTGCAATTATAAGGAAACTTAAAGGGAATCATGTGGTCCGAATAGCCTATATTGTGCTGCTTTTCCTGCTATGATGACAAATTAAAAAGCCACTGGCAATTTTACGTATTATTCTCTTCCATACTTTCATTGCCTTTTTCCTACACACACACACACGCGCGCGTGTGTGCACGCACGCACACACACACACACACACACACACACACACACACACACACACACACACACACACACACACACACA